GAATTGGCATGGCGGAGTAGGCAGGGAAAGCTTTTTCTCTCTCCAAATTTCCAATTAACCCCCTTCTCTCTTCTTTAATATGGACAATTTATTTAAAAATTTTAATGCAAATAAATTTTCAAGTCTCCTTTCTCTCTAATTCAAACTACATGGACACTCCTATGTACCATCTAACAGGATTTCCAAAGCATGTCTTAGGTGGTCTAGGACTCTTGAAATTTTTACCATTTACCATTTTGGTTAAGAAGAAAATAGAAAGTAGCTTTGCTTAAATACAACAAACAGAAATAGCTCCTCTGAAGTTAAGCATTAAATTGCATTTGAAACTGTTGGAAAAAATTTTAAGGATGAAAAAAGGCAGAAAATTCCTGAACAGGAGTTTATTCTGTTGAGATGACTGTGTAGTGGGCGGCCATCTCCACATGTGGAACTAGGACTGCGGTGCCTGGATTCTTGGTTTTCAAAAGTTCATGACTGCTTTCTGCACAGGCAAGGTTTTGAACAGCAAGTTGGAACAAGTCAGTCCAGTAGACTTCCTTGCTTTTGGTTACAAAGGGATGATAATGTCTGTAGGGGCAGGAGCTGGACATGGAGCAGGTTTTCTAGGATCCCATGTAGACCGGGTAAAGGAGGAGTCAGAGTCCTCAGTGGTTTTTGCAGGTCTTTTATTGGGATTTACCCGGTATACAGCAGCAAATCTTCACTCTATCTGGGCTCTCTGGCGTTCTCTCTGCTTCTCTTCTTCTTTCAGCTTCCGTTCGTTCTTGGCTTCTGCTGGCGTCCGGTGATGCCGCCCTTAAAAGCACAGTCTTAGCCCAGGTGAATCCCATCTACCTATGCCCACACCCTACTCCAGGTGCCCGCCATCAGGCATGCATTCAGGACAGCAAGGATCCATCATCTGTCCTGATGGCAGAGGGAAGAAAAGCCTGACATTTTTCCTTACCCTACAATGTCTCTCTTGCGGACAGACTTAACTCATCAAAAATGCCACCTATAATTGACTTTGGGTTGGGTCCCTGGGAGGTGGATTGGGCTGATAGATATTACTATCCCCATTTTAGAGACTAAGAAAGGAAATGTGGGCTCAAAGGCATCTGGCGTGGTGCTGGAGCTGGGACGGCAGCCAGGGCTCCACTGACGAGAGGGCTCCTTAAATGCTATTTAGTTGGCCTTTTACTCAATTAGTCCCAGAAATGTTGTTTTTGTGCTTGCATTTATGCCTTTGATCTCACTGAATGGATGTTTCTGTCCAAGAAAGTCTTGTTGCTCACTCAAGCGACGACATGGATCAGGGCATCTTTTGAGATCTTTTTCAATGATTTTTTTTGAAATCTGCGCATACATTTTAAAATTAAAGAAGCCATCTGACTTTAGAATCTGCTAATTACTCAATGAGTGATCTTGCAAGTCACTTAATAAGCCTCAGACTTGGTTTCATCATCCGTAAATCCTTCTTTCTCTTTATTGTCAACATAGAGGCCAGAGTGAGTCTTTTAAAATGCTAGTTTGAGAGCAGTTATTTCACTAACATGTACAGTATTTTGTCTTGGCTTTCTGTATTAAAAGTGTTAGTAAAATAAAAAAAAATAAGTAAAATGCTAGTTTGATTATAAAGAAACTCTACTCAAAGCTATCAGTGGCTTCTCACCACCCCGGACCCTCACTCCCACCCCTACTCCCGCCCTAACCCCAGGCAATTAAGTCCAAAGTCCTTACACACTGATAGTCTTACTGGCTCTGAGAGATTTCTGCAATATCTTCTCCTCCCTCTCCTCTCTCTATTTCAGCTACTTTGTTTTTCTTGCTATTCCTTCAGTTGAATATTTTTCTGCTTTAGCCTTTTGGTATTAAACTTCCCTCTTCCTGGAAATATTCTCGCAGATTCACTGCTTGGTTTTCTCCTTCACTTCCTGTGTGTTTCTGCTCAAATATTACATTTATCATCCCCTTCTCAATCTCCTTTGTATAGATGTATGATGCATACATTAATTTCATATTAATTCAAGTAATAGATGTTCTACCAATATTTAAGATGGTTAGAAAATTGTAATAAAAGTACAGCTAACATATAGTGCAGTATTGCTACATGCCATGAAGTTTGCTTTTCCTTTGGGGGATAATCTATACTGGATATCAGTTTCCTTTGGGGTATCAGAGTAGCCCTATATTCAGGTAATTTTTTATGTTCATGGCATTTTCAGCTTCATTGTTGCAAAAAGCCTCAAGCATTGAGCTAAGTCCTTTTTCTCCTTAATCTTTAAAAATAGTCCTGTGAGGCAGGTGGTAGTAAATCACCCGTCACTCCAATGCTTAAAAATCCACTAACGGCTCCCAATTGCGCTTACAGGAACCTCAAAGTCTTACTGTGGCTATAAGACTTGCCATAACAGGGCCGGCCCATTTCTTCCACTTTGTCTCTTACTAACTCTATCCACCTTACTCCACTCTATTTGGAGTGCTTGCCACCTTTTTTTGAACATGCCTCGTCAAGCTGCTTCCTGCTTCAGGGCCTTTGCACCTGCTGTTCCTTTTTGAAATACTACAATCAAATATTTCAGTGGCTGAATCTTTGTTCTCATTAACTCTCAACTCAAACTGTAGCTTCTCAGAGGCACTTTCCCTATATCTATAAAAAAACAAGCCCCCCCCAACCTTACATACCTGGTTGCCAGATACAGCGACTAAAAATATAAAACACCCTATTAAATTTGAATTTTAAATAAATAGTAAATATTGCACGAGATATTTAGGACATAAATATAATGAAACATTGTGTATTTGATATTTAAATTTAATTTGGTGTCCTGCAATTTATCTGGCAACCTTACCTCCATAGCTACTCTGTTATGGCACCCTGTTTTATTGTCTCCATGGAACTTCTCACTACCAGAAATTCGTTTTTGTCAGACTCCTCACTGGAACATAAATAAGGGTTCCATAAGGGTGTGGCCTGTCTGCCTTTTCCAACTGCATCTCCAGAACCTATCACAGTGCCTGGTTCATAGTACATGCTCAATAAATATTTTTTAAAGAAAGATTTATTTATTTATGCATACAAGAACTGGGGTGCAGGCCAGAGGTGTGGGGGTGAGAGGATTCACCAGGGACAGAGTGGGGAACAGAACAGACAGAGTGACTGAAAAACACTGCTGAGGGGAGCAGTGGGCAAGACAGTAGAGGTCTGCTGTGCCATGTGGGTCACCTCCCTGGCTGGGGATCGAACTCATGCTGTGGTAGTTGCATATAGCTTCATAGTGCTGATGCTTAGACCCTTACCCCATCAGGGAGGTCCCTCAATAAATATTTTTTTTTAATTTTTTTTTTATAGAGGCATGTTTTATTTATTTGTTTGTTTGTTTGTTTGTTTATTTGTTTATACATGCACTGGGTACAGTCAGAAGCGCGGGAGGGTGAGAGAATTCACCAGAGCCAGAGCAGGGAGCAGAACAGGCAGAAGGCCCGAAGTACACTGCTGAGGGGAGCAGCGGGCGGCAGGAGAAGTCTGCGCGCCATGTGGGACCCTCCTCAGGTGGCCGGGGAGCAGCCGGGGATTGAACCGGCGTCGCAGAGGCTTCAGGCAGCTTCGCAACCCAGCGCTCAACCACTGCACCACTGGGGAGGCCCTCAATAAATATTTTTTATAAGGTACGAAAAATGGAAAAATAAAACGCATAAAGAGATTGGAAACTCCTAGAGGACATACAGCTACCTAGAGGAAAAGTGGAATCGAGCAGTGTGGTGCCAAAGCTCAGGAACTCTTCCATGCTTCACCTTTTGGAGGAGTGGAGAGGACTGAAGGGGCACTGTGTCAACTGCCTTCAAGAGGCTTTTTTTTTTTAGTGCTATCAGGAACTCTTGTATCATATTTCCGGAGAACGGTCTGAGTAAGCTAAAATGCCTTTTCCCAATTGGCTTTGCAACAAAGCAAATGAAATTACCATACGGAAATGCACAAGAGTGAAATTAACAAGACTGCCTTGGGGAAGGGTCAGAGGCAGTGCATATCTTTCACACCTTTGTCTTCTGTAAATTCCCTGACACTTAAGGATTGGCCTTGTTAGACTCGGGAAACTGCTAGACCTTGAGCACAGGAGAAAACTACCAGTGTGCGTGCAAATAAAGAGAGGGGGTGGGGGTGGGTGGGAAAAAAGTCAAGACAGAAGAAATCAAACTCTCATTTTGGACCCAGGGCGCGCAACCGGGTGGGAGCAGCCGCGTTCAGCCTCAGAACTTCGCGGGTTTCCCCTCTAGTATGGACGCTCTGCGCGCCACAGGGCGCACGGCGGGCGCTCACTCTCCACTCCGCCTCACTCCACCAGACCCAGACTTTAGCCTGCGGGTGCGTTCAGAGACCCGCCCAGAGCGAGCTGCGTGGGGAACTGTGACCGGATCCTAGGAGCAAGCTGGCTCCGGGCCCTCCCCAGCTCCACCCGGCTCTCGGTCGCCCGCCCTCCCATCTCGGAGTTGGAGGATGGTCCCGGAGTTCTCCCGCGGAGCTGCTGGTCCTGGGTGGCTTTGGCCCGATCCGTCCTGTCGCGTGAGTGGCGCGCGCGCCCAGTCAGGAGGTGGCCGCCCCCGCCGCTGACAGGTGCTGCCCGGAGGGCGCCGGGCGCGGTCCCTGGCGCCGCTGGATGCGCACTCCCGGGCGCATGTAGCTCCTGGAGCCCAGAGCCAGCGAGGAGCCGGAGCCAGGGCGCGGCCTGGGAGACACCAGTGGACTGGAGCCGCGAAGCTCGGAGCTCGAAACTTTGCAGGCGCGGCGGACGGGACTGGGTGGCAGCGCCAGCCCACCCGGGCAGGTGCGGGAGCAAGAGGCGGCGCCCGAGTCCCGTGGCCGGAGAGCCTTGGCGGCGTCTTTCCCTTGCGCTGGCCCCAAGTCGCTGGGCACTCCCGGCCTCTGCTGCTGCGCCCGCCGCCGCCGCCACAGCCGCGGGGCTCCGAGAGGAGGCGCAGCCCGAGAAGGTGGAGGAGGGGAGAGGAGGAGCCGCGGGCGGAGGATGGAGCCCCGGGCTACTGCAGCTGGCGCGCCCGAGCCTGCGGCGCCGTCCTCCTCCTTCCAGGCCCGGCTCTGGAAGAACCTGCAGCTGGGGGTGGGCAAGAGCAAGGGCGGCCGCGCCGGGGGCTCCGAGCGCCGCACTGCGGGCACCCCATCGCCCTCCCCGCCGCCCCCCGGGGGCAGGCGGGACACCCTGACCGGCGTGGGTGGCGCGGGCAGCAGGTGGAGCGGCTTCAAGAAACGCAAGCAGGTGCTGGACCGCGTCTTCTCCTCCTCCCAGCCCAACCTGTGCTGCTCCTCTCCGGAGCCTCTCGAGCCCGGCGGCGCCGGCAGAGCGGAGCAGGGGTCCACGCTGCGCCGCCGAATCCGCGAGCATTTGCTTCCCGTGGGGAAGGGGCCGGTGGCCGCCGCGGGAGCAGCCGGGGCGACCCCTCCTGGCGGGCGCTCCCCGGACTCGGCTCCTTCTTCGTCCTCCGCCTCATCGTCCCTGTCCTCCTCACCCCAGCCGCCCCCGAGGGGGGAGCGCGCCCGAGATGACGGCACACAGCCTCGGGGTCCCGGGGCGCACTTGTGCCATCAGAAGAGTTCCTCCTTGCCGGGCACCGCCTGCCTGGAGCAGCTGTTGGAGCCGCCGCCCCCTCCTGCTGAGCCGGAGCGGAGCCCGCGGAGCCCGAGACCCCGGGGCAGGACCAGGAGCGCGGCAGCAGCCAGGTGAGTGACAGGTGGGCGCGCACCGAGCACTGGTGCTCGCGGCGACGAATCCATTTTTGAGCGGTCGCGACCCCGGGAGTTGCGCGGGCTGGCGTGCTGCTGGGCAGATCGGACAGTGGAAAGAAAATATCCGGCTCCTGCTCTGTAGAGATGGAGCTGTGATTTGCACCTGACTTGACTTTCGATGGAAATAACGCTTGCCGCCTGTAGCTGTTTGGGTAGCTTTGTGGGTTGCCAATGACAGCGGAAGTATTAAAGATAGCCAGCTAGGAAAGGAGAAGTTAGACTTAAAGTGGGTACTTTCGGGAGGTCTTCTAGAGGGATTTGTCGGCGTCTCACGTTGTCAAAAGATAAACAAATCCAACAACTTAAAAAAGCTTTCAGCAGTCAGTGCAATTATAATCTTGCGTGGCAGTGTGGAGTGTGGAGGTCCAGCCTTTGAAACTAAGAACTTGCAAGAAGAAAGGCGAAGAAGTGGGTTCATGGTCAAGGCTAGGTCTTGTATGGGGAAATCCTTAACGCAGAAGTCTGCTCATTTTCCTTCACTCGGTTCTTCTGACTTCCTGCTGCAGGTGGATCGCTGCCCAACGAGTGGACAGTGTGAGCGGTTCCTCCGAGTTAGTCATAGGCTATGTTTCTGTGACTTGTTCTAAGTTTTAAAAGTCATCTGAAGCAACTGTGTTTAGAGTATGTTGTTTATACATTAGGTTGACTCTGGTCAGGTAAGAATCAAGTTTTTCATGTGCTTAAACAAAACGTAGGATTGGTAAGTCCACTTATTGTAGGTCCAATGAGTGGCGGCTTTTATTTGGTTTTATACAGATGACTCTCTTCTGAAACTATCAAATCATGTTAACTATAGAAAATATTGTGAAGGCGCCGTTCCACCAGGGAACCAAAGAATTCCTCTCTTCTAATATATCTTAGTTTACTTAAACTCTCTTTTTATTTTGACTGATTGTTAGATTAATGATTTACTGTACACATGAAAACTTTAATTAGATTAAAAATTGAACAACAAAAAACATAAGGCTGTGTTTTGAGGGGTAAGATATGGGAATAAATGAATGGGCTTTCAGTGGAAATTTTTTATACTGTACTGGCTAATTTATTAGTGTTGTTTCAGAAAATAAACCATAATGCCGGTGTGTTTTATTGTTTAATAAACATAATTGCTTGCATTAAGCAAACACATGGTGTTTTAGAAAAAGTTTCTTTCTCAGAAGAGTAGGTGGAGATAATGTTGACAAAAAGCCTAAATAAATCTACCTTCCCTTTTATCTTGAAAGATAATTGAATAGAACTTTCCTGGCTTGAAAAATAAGCAAAAAAGTAGTTGTAAAAAGATGTTATTAATTCCATAGAGGAGAATACTATGTACTTAAAATGTGTATTTTTGAATGTGCACATAATCTTAATATGTAAGAATTTTAGAGTTGGGCATCTGTTTACATTTGTTTTTTGTTAACTTTTACTATTGACAGTAATAAACCAATAATCGAATTATTTTGGAAGGTCGATAATCATTATCACTGGGAATGCTAACTTACTAAGACTTTGCACTGAGCCAGGATATGTTCAAAGCAAAAGCAGAGAAATCTGCATTAATCTTTATGTTCATTTTAGCCAAAAAGCTTCCAGACATGATCAATATTTATTTTGAAAATACTGTTATGTTAATATGAATTTGTATTCACAATTTTGTGTACAAAATCACAATTTTGTGTACCAGACACTTGAATTTATTTTGAGAGGATACTTAAGTAAGTGTATTATATGTGCCTTAATCATATGCTGGGCACTTTCTAGACTTACATGATTTAATCATCAATGGTCCTAGTGATAGAAGTTCTTGTTGCCATTTTATGGATTAGGAAACCGATGCTTGAAGTTAAATAACCTTCCCTGGGTCACATGGTTAATAAGCGACGGAGAGGTGTTTTGTATTCAAGCCAGTCTCTAGAATCTTTATCCATTACTACATTGACTTTTGACAACTTTTAGAACTTGTTAAGTTTCTGAGATGACTTCAGTTCTATTGATTAGTACTCACAAGTTTACACATTCTGGAGTTTTTATTCTACATTCCTAGAATCAGTTCCATGCTAAATTAGCTATGTAAATTTGTTTTCTGTTCTCTGTGATGCTTGTTGCATATATATATTTACAAATGACTTAATTATTCCATCTATAATTCTAAAAAAGCTTTTCATCTTAATGAAGAGATGGGAAGAATAAAATAGCTTAAATATCTTTCCATGAATAGATGAAGGTGGGATGTGCTAGAACAATACACCTTGAGGGATTGTCCTAAGACAAACAATAGTCTGCAAAAGAGGCACTATTTTTAGCTCCCTGCATGGCTGCTCATGAAACAGTCTTTGAAGAGTAGACAGTTTTCTCTGTTATGAGTTGCAAATCCAGCCATCAGCAGCACTCCCTGCAGTACATGAGAGAGGATTCTTTACTTCTCTAAATACTTCATAGCCAACTCAAAGGAGCCAGTTTCCCTTCTCTGAATGCAAAAGAGGTAAAAATGAAATTTGGAACTGGACCTGGAAGAGGACTCACTAAGGTGTCCAAATTAGACTTAGCTCAGCAAGAGTTTTCCAATTTCCCTACAAATCTCAGAGAACTTTCCTTGCTCTCTTAGCACTTTGTCTTCAAAGACACTTTGGCATGGGGAGGGAGCTTTAGTATATGCAGATTTCAGCTTTATTCACAGTTCATAAGCACAGATGGGCACATGAAAGGAAAGACAATAAAAGCATTAAATTCATCCTCAGATTGCCTAGATTAAAAGAACTCTCAAGGAAGATAGAAAATTCATTGCAACACTAGGAAAATTGCTCAATTTTTCTCTTTTTCTTTTCTTAATCCTGGCACCAGCCATGTTCTCCAACACACTCCCCACCTCTCCACCCCCCCAGCCCCACATGAGGCCCCAACAACATATGTGCACATGCTCTAACACTTGGTGGAGATATTAAGCAAAAGCATAAAAACAGTTTGGACTGCTGGGGAAAGGGATTTGGAAGTCACTGATGTATGATGATTAAAACTGAACAAAAAGTGCTACCTCTTATGCCCCTGCCAGCCCTCTTGCTGCTGTTTTCTTTAGCCAAATATACCTTTGAAACACACCTGAACATGCCTTATAATGCATGTCCATTATTTAATGTGTTCTGCTTTGAAAAAAAGGAAAAAAATCCCTTTCTTTAAACTGATTCTAGTTCACGTGCAAGGCCATATTGTCATACCAGATGCATTTCATTTTCTGCAACACAGTTGAGAAAGACGCTCTCTCAATTTGTGTGCATATCAAAGTATGCCAATTTTATATATTCTGTCTTGATGAGTTACTAAAATTATATTTTGCTAGAATCAGAAAGTCAGTATTTTAAGACAAAGAGTAAAGAATGAATATGTTGCATATTTTAGTGATTTAACTGAAGCATAGTGTTTATACATGTTAAACTTTTATAGTTTTTTTCTTTTAAATTTATTTTGTTAAAATTGCTTTCATGGAGGAGTAAAAATATTTTTGAAAAAAGTGGGTGATTTATTCAGGTTATAATAGAAATGTTTTAAATCATAGTAAGAAGAATATCCATTCATTAGGATACAATTTCTAAAACACAACTATAATCCCTAATAAAAAGTGGAAAAATATTTTTTAAGATTAAGTCTATCCATGAAGTACGTTGTGATTTATTAATGCTGTGATCTTTTAAAGAAAACCCGTACTTTCACAAACTATTTAAAAATGTGATTTCGGTGAATTTTTTGCTATTATTTCTCAGGTGTCTTAAATAATACTTAAAAGAATATAACTTAATCTTGGGTAAAACACAAAGGTACAAAACATAATTCTAAACATACGTGACTAAAAGCCATCCCAAATTTATTACCAAACAAGTCCCCGAAGCAGGGAGAGTAGGTTTTCACAACTTCTTTAGAAATGAGAGAGGAAGGCTGAGGTCCTAGGACAATTTGGAGCAGGGAGTAAGTGCAATTTGATGTGTGATGGCATTATTGAAAATACTGAGATCATGAAGTTATTCCAGAGAGAATAAACACATGATAAGTTTGCTTTGGAGTGAAATTATTTCCCTGTGACCTTTAACTACTATTCTGTGTATTTCACATGTTTGAATAGGTCTATGAATCTTCTATAAGTGAAAATATTTTCATGTAGATATTGTGTGATGTTGACTTGACCCATAACTCAAGAAATATTAGCAATGTCTGTTATTATTGAAGAATATAATGCCATAACAAGTAAGTAGATGATTGAAAAAATTTAACAGGGAGCTTTCTTAGTTCTTTTCATTTGATTTAAGATGTGGATTGTTTTACTTGCAGTTGTGGCACAAGTAACCCAAAGTTAATTAAGGCAGTGCTGGTGACATCACAATCTCACACAGTAATGCAGAACTCTTACATTACTTTTGGCAAGTGTGTGCATGTTTATCATGAAAAAAGTGAACAAATCCTTTGAGAGAGAAAGTAAGATTAATTGTCACAAAGAAAATAAGACCAACCTCCCTCCTCTTTTCTTGTTTGGAGATCAAGGATGATTTAACAAAATTAAAGGTGAATAAAATATTTTTGCTCCCTCAGGGGAACATCGAATGTGGTTTCTTTGCTCATGGTATTTATTAAAACATTGGGTAACTCTAGGGTGACAAAGAATAAATAGTAAGTTGGAGATAATGTTGTAAACATTGACTAAATCTACAGATTCAGAAGTTAGGATCATGGTTTTTTTTGTATTTTTTTTCACTAATTACATCTATTTATTATCATAGCAGAATGTGAAATAGATAAAGCAGAAATTAGTTATTTGAAATCTCAGACTGTTGTTTGGAAAATTATATTTTGCTGGAAAAAATTACTTATTTCTTTTCCTCACTAAACTAAGCATCGTAAATATAACTTTATATTGTATACTGGATTTTTGGGGCTTGTTAAATATGCCTGCTTGTTATCATAACATTACATTATAAGGCATACTTATTTATGGCATATTTGTCTTTCTGTAAAGGTAATTATAGATTAAAAGGTAGAACATCTCTCCTCAAGTCATTTGTTTCACTTGTCAAATATCTGTACTGTTTTCATTTGTGAATTTTGATTTGTTGGTACTATTGAAAATACCTATTCTTTTTCCTGCACAATTAACTTAATGTACTATTTTGATTTCATTGTCACTGTCAACCTTTTCTTCTTACATTGCATTCTGTAAATCAAGCATGGAAAGTCAATATTTTATGCAAATCAATATTTTGCAACAATCAATATTTTATGCAAATAGATTCCCTCCTTCCAATGTATACAATTTCTTTTTTTTTTTTTTTTAATTTTTATTTATTTATTTATACAAGCACTGGGCACAGTCAGAAGCATGGAGGGTGAGAGAATTCACCAGAGCCAGAGCGGGAAGCAGAGCAGGCAGAAGGACCTAAGTACACTGCTGAGGGGAGCAGCGGGCGGCAGGAGAGGTCTGCGCGCCATGTGGGACCCTCCTCCGGTGGCCGGGGAGCAGCCGGGGATCAAACCGGCGCCGCAGAGGCTGCGGGCAGCTTCACAACCCGGCGCTCAACCACTGCGCCACCGGGAGGCCCCTATACAATTTCTTATCATTAGAAAATTATTTTTTCAGCAGACTATTAGATCACATTTTCCTTAATGTCTCCAAATATTTGTATTTAATATTAGTCTGAGAGCAAGCAGTGTTGAAAACTGTGTTTTCAATATGGAATTTAGAGTCCTGCATATTGTGTTTTTGAGAGAACAATTTTCCTGTGAAGTATCTTTTGACATTTCATATCAGCCTATTTCCCATTCCCTTGGGGCAGAGCAAACCTGAAGAATGATGACAGGTGATAAGCGAAGGGGCCTCTGGAGGTTTAGGATCAGTGCAGCCTCCTAATCCCACCAGTGTTATTGAGAGTGATCCCTTCAATATTAGCAGCCTGACCCTATTTTGCTGAATGAAGCCTGAGCTACCTTGCCCGGCACTGCTAGAGAGAACTTGGCAAGCATCAGTACAATCGACCTATTTAGTCGGCATTGTGAAACAGTTCAGGGGAAAGTCTCATGAGTGGTTGAAGTCTCAATAAATGGTTGCTGAATGAATGAAGGCATGAATGGATGGGCCAGAACTGTTTGGAAGTTCTTTGGAAAAATTTCGAAATCACTTTATGG